AACAACCCAGGAAGGCTTCGTAGCAGGGTCCGGAAGTCCCATGTGTCCCCTCGTCCTGGATTCAGACTCTTACTGTGTGAGAGGCCAAGACATGGGGCAGCCACCATCACTTTGCCCTTGCCTAGACTCCAGATGAGCAGAATGTGGGACACACCAGGCCAGGTGGTGGCAGTGGGTACCAGGAACAGGTCCTTGCGGGAGGCCAGCAGCCCAAAACGGGGGCAGTGGTGTAGCAGGACGTGTGTGCGGCCCAAATTGGTGCTGGCCTCCCCGCTGGGCTCCAGGGTGCGGAGGCACACCCAGTGGCTGAAAGCGGCTGCAGGCGGCCCAAGCCGACCCTCAGTACCGACCTGACGCTCCTCGCACCACACCAGACGGCCTCGGGGCGCCGCCACGGCCACCACGCGGGCTCCACCGCCCGGACACAGCTCGGTGCTCTGCAGTAGCCGCCAGCTAGGCCCCACCCCCGCGCCCCACACCTCGGCTAGGCCACTCTCCCACACCAGGATCAGTGCAGGTCGCGCCGGCCACGGTAGGAAGAAGGCGTCTAGGGGTGAGGGCTGGCCAGTCGGCCAGGAACGCTCCAGTTCCGCGCCGGGTCCACGCACCGCGACCAGCAGCTGCGGGGCCGGCGCCCCGGGGGGTCGCAGCAGCAGCAGGTGGCGGCCGTCCGCGCTGCAGCGGACTCGGACTGCTGGGTCCCCGGCCAGCAACTCCCGGAGCCGGGCTGCGCCGCTGAAGTTGCTCAGGTCCGAGAGCAGGCGCAGAGTCCCCACACGCTTCATGGTGCCACCTGCTCGCTCGGGAGCACGCCCAGGCCGGAGGCCCGGCCCTGTCTGTGGTTCTGGGGGTAGTCGAGAGCTGGCTGTGACTTCCGTCCCCCGTCGATGAGGTGGGCCAAGGCTGGGCAGGACTGTCGACTCCGCCCTGCCCCGCCAGGCTAGCTCTGGGATTGCCCCCGCCTGCGCCGGACGGCGCGACACGCCCGCCAGGGGAGGAGCCACGGGAGCATCGCCGGGGGAGGGGCTCCAGCGGCACCCAAGGGTCTCCGCGCCTCGGGCCTTGCCTGCTTAGGGATGTTCTCTGAGCCTGGATGTAGGTCCGCTGCCCCAGGCCCCAAGAAGCCGCGGAGTGATCCCGAATTGCGAGCGTCCCTCTCCCAAGGCTTTCACCCCAATTTATGCATTCATTTATTCATGAGATTTTTATTGTGCACATACTTTGTGCCAGGCTCTGAGTAGACAGCCCTGAACAAAATAGAAAACTTCAGCCTCATGGAGATGATGATCTAATGGATATAATAGTTAACACTTCCACAGTACTTCCTATGTGACAGCTTTTTCTGCACCTAGCCTTCCCCTTTTACAGATAAGGAAGGAAAATGAAACACAGAGAGATTAAGCAATTTGGCCGAGTGGTAGAGGTGGGATTTCAACCACAGACAATCTGGCTCCAGACTCAGTCCACCAAACCACTTGGCCATAGCAACAATTCACCCAAACCAACAGTCTGCTAGGGGGGAAAAAAAGAAAGAAAACTTAGAGGTACTGAGTTTGTGTGTCATCTCTCCAGTGGTGATGCCTACAAATTTACATACAGGGTCCTTCTACCCTTTGATTGCCCTTTCAAGAGAGTGGTAGTTCCTCCTCTCTCCAAGCCCAGTCGCTCTTTATAAGCCCTGCCTCTCCTCCCTCACCCCCACCTTCCTTGAGAACCTGCATCCATTTCTGTTTCATCAGCTTCATTCTGTGTTCTCATTTTCAGCATAGAAATACCCTCCAGTCTGTCCTGACTTGGAATTCATTCTTTCATCCTCATCTCCCCACCTCCACCCCATCATTCCCTTACCCTTTCCTTTCTCAGTCAAGTTTCTTTTTTTTTGAGACAGAGTCTTACTCTGTTGCCTCTGCTAGAGTGCTGTGGTGTCAGCCTAGCTCACAGCAACCTCAAACTCCTGGGAATACAGCGATCCTTTTGCCTCAGCCTCCTGAGTAGCTAGGACTACAGGCATGCGCCACCATGCCTGGCTAATTTTTTTTTCTAATTTTTTGGTAGAGACAGGATCTTGCTCTTGCTCAGGCTGGTCTAGAACTCCTGAGCTCAAATGATCTGCCTGCCTCGGCCTCCCAGAGTGCTAGGATTACAGGTGTGAGCCACCCCTCCTGGCCTCAGTCAAGTTTCTTGTAAAGATCCTTCACTTTCTTTCCTTCCATCCTCAAACCACTACTTCCCTGAAATAGCTTTTGCTGAGATCTTTAAGGACATTTTTATTTCCTTTTTTATCTGAGACATTTGACAACTTTCTTATTGTTGCCTGGACTAGAGTGCAGTGGCATCATCATAGTTCACTGCAACCTCCAACTCTGGGCTCCAGTGATCCTCCTGCCTCAGCCTCCTAAGTACCTGGGACTACAGGCACGCGGGGCACCAGGCCCAGCTAATTTTTGTATTTTTTGTAGAGATGGGGGGGGGTCTCGCTCTTGCTTAGGATGGTCTCAAACTTATGGCCTCAAGGCACCATGCCCAGCCAGTTTTCCTCTTTTTAAAGATAGCACTATCTTCAGAGTTTTCTTTGTCTTTGGTTCAGCTTCCTCCACCATCCTTTAAATGTTGGTGGTCTTCCTCCCATACCCCAATTCCATCTTGGGTGATTTTCTTTTTCTTCTTTTTTTTTTTTAACCCCTTTCCTAAGCCATCTTCCCATTTCTCACGGTTTAAGCCATTACTTCTAAGCCAACGGCTCAAAAATATTTATCTACAGCTAAAATATTTATGTTGAGTTCCAACAAAGGGTATCCAAATATCTGCTAAATATTTCTGCCTGGATGTCTCACAGGCATTTCAATCTCAACATGTCTTAAACATCATCTTCCTGCCCAAAATTGCTTCTTCTCCAATGCTCCTAGTTGCCATAGGATTTCTTTCATTTTTGTATCTCATCCTTATTTTTAGAGGATAGGATAGACAAAGAAAGTCCTCAATAAGTGTTTTGTGAAGGAATTAGTACACTTGCATTGACACGTTTGTGTGTCATATCACTTAGGAACCTTTTCATTAAAAGTTATAAACTTTAAATTAGCCGGACACAGTGGCCCATACCCGTAGTCCCAGCTACACAGGAGACTGAGGCGGGAGGAGTTGGAAGCTATAGTACACCATCAATGCACCTGTGAGTAGTCACTTCACTGCAGCCTGGGCAACATAAAGAGACCCTGTTTAAAAAAAAAAAAGTTACAGTAATAGACCATAGATAGCTATCTTAAGTAAAAGTGAAATTATTTAGAAGGATATAAGTGGTTCACAGATTCTGCAGGAGAAAGAAAGAACAAGCTTGAAAAATGAGCAAGAACCAAGGTATTCACTGGAGACCAAGAAACAGGAAGCACAATTGTTTTTCGGCAGGAACCATTTCCCCAGGACACCATGCTCCCTGGTGCTACATGAGTTGGTCACTGCACTGGAGGACAGCATCTGTTATGAATAAATTCTGATCATCCCTTCATCTTTGCATCTTGATCAAGAGCCAAAGCCCCTGGAGGCTGCACCTAGTTGCCTAGCCCAGGTCACATGCTCTTATTTACCCTGGTTACTCAGGGCATGGTTTTTCATTTGGACTACATTCAAAGGAAGAGTCCTCCAGAAAAAGAGGTGAAGAGTTTAATGTGCATAACCAAAACCAATATGACATAGGATTTTTATTATCCCCATTTTCCAGATGAGGAAACTAAGGCTCAGAGAGCTCAAGTAATGGTCCAAAGTCATATAGCTAGTATGTAGCAGACCTGGGATCATTCCCATAGTGTTCCAGAGGTAGTGCTCTTACCTGTTCAGTATATGGCTTTCTATGCATACTCTAGTCTGAATTTGTATTAAATTCACTTCCCTGGCAGTGAATTCAATCTCATACCCTCTCCTTTCCTTTTCTCCTCTTTTCTAACACTTGACTCCATCTTTATCCTTCCCAGATAGCCTTTGGAGATGGACATGAAATTTTCCCTTTTCTGAATTTTCAAGGTATTTACAATTTGAACCTTTGTAAGCCTGTCCTTGATAATTCACTGATATTTAAAACACTTAATTGTACATATCTCTATCTCTGCATCTATCACCTTGTTAAAATATAACCTTGGAATTCTAATTTGTTTTCTTTTTACTACTCCTATGATTGAGTATTCACTAGGTATGGAACAAAATTTTGTTGAAAAGAAATCAGGTCTGGAGCAGGATTCTTTCAGGCTCTTAAGTGGTGGGGTTTTTTTTGTTTGTTTTTTGAGACAAGAGTCTCATTCTGTTGCCCCACCTAGAGGGCTGTGGTGTCAGCCTAACTCATAGCAACCTCAAACTCCTGGGCTCAAGCAACCCTTCTGCCTCAGGTTCCCAAGTAGCTGGGACTACAGGCACGTGCCACCATGCCAGGCTAATTTTTTCTGTTTTAGTTATTTGGCTAATTTCTTTCTATTTTTAGTAGAGATGAGGGTCTCACTCTTGCTCAGGCTGGTCTCAAACTCCTAAAAAACTCAAGCAATCCTCCTGCCTTTGCCTCCCAGAGTGCTAGGATTACAGGCTTGAGCCACTGCGCCCAGGCCTAAGTGGTATTTAAGAACTATTAGAGTTCACCTCGTGATACTTTCCTCTTGCCCCTTCCCACTCTTTTATATTCTATTAGGGTCCAGATTTTTGAAAAAAGTTTAATTTGCTAATGATGTTTTATACACTCTTGTGTATAAGAGAAGAAAAATCTACCAAGAAAGAACCTGAGCCTCTGGTTTAAGAGCTCTTTTCTGATAAATCTGGATTCAACTCTTCATCTCATTCTAACTCTAGAACATCAGGCAAGCTATTTAATCACTCAGAAACTTTTGTTTTCTCATCTGTGAAGAACCTATCCATTACAAGGATTGAAACACACACACATACACATACATACACACACAGTGGATACCTGGCACATCTGTTTCAATCTTCCATTTGCATATAAAAAACTCAGAGACTCAGAGAGGTTATTTGCCAAGTTAACATAGCTTTACATGGTGCTGCACATATATTAGGCACATACATATTTGTTGAATGAATGAGTTTGTTTCCAATCTTTCACTTACAAGGTTGCAATAAACATCCTGGTGTATACACTTTTCCAAACTTTGGAAGTATTTCTAGAGGATGCATTTATTCCTAGAAGAAGAACTGCCGAGTTCAAAGAGTCAGCCATATTTCAAAAACCTGCTATTGCGACTCGATTCCAGCAGGCCCTCAATAGATGTTTCCTTCGCTAATTTCTTTCTCGCGATGCCTTCCGGGAGTTGTAGTCTTTGCGATGTTTGCTGGGAATCCTGGTCAGAGCCAGTCTGAGGAGGCCGGCGAGGAGGAACCTATTACGAGACGGGCTTTAGGACCCGGCGGGGGGCGGCGGGACGGGGAAAGGGTCGGGGAGGTCGGGAGCGCGCCCGTGAGCCCGGAGCAGCGGCAGCGTTGGTGGCGTCGGGAGCGAGCGAGCCCGGGAGCGGCGCGGGTGGTGGTGGAGGAGGAGCCGTGAGCTCGGTAAGCGGCGCCAGCCCGGCCCGGTCCTCGGACCTGGCCAACCCCTGCGGGTCCAGCCATACTAGGCCTTGGCCCTGAGGCAGCTCTGGGGGCGGAGCCTGCGCTTGCCGCGGGGACTACAGGGTGACGAGGGGCGGTGCGGCGGGGGGTTGAGGGAGGGAGGGAGGGAGAATTACTGCTGAGGCTGTGTGTGGCTGGGAGGAATGGGCCCGGCCGTGGCCGAGCCAAGAGAGTAGCGGCCTCGCTCCTCCAGCCGCTGGTCCCAGGCACGTCTCTCCCTCTCCTCGTTCCTGCTGGGGCCTTCTGGTAGCCGAGGCGCTGACCTTTGACCCCAGCAGGGGCTGACCTCGACTCTTCCAGCTGCCTCGAGAGCCTCTCTCAGATCGTACCTGGCTCTGGGGTGCGGGCATGGGGCAGACCTCCGAGAAAGACTAGAAGAAGGCTGGTCCGTCTGAAGACTCCAGGTGTTCCGGAAGGGCCCTTATCCCGTCCCCCTCCAGTCTCTGACTGACAGGCTTTAGCCCACTCTTCAACCTGAACCAGTGAAGCTACTGTATTTTCTTGGGGTTGCTTGGTGAGAGCCCCGGAAAAGAACCTGTTCCCAGGCAGGTGTGGGGAAGAAACAAGAAGAAAACTGATTCCCTGGGGAAGGAGAGCTATCAGAAGCTGAGGAGTGTTGCCTCTGGTGAATGGGGAAGCGGAAACTTGGGCCAGGCCCCATTAAATGTTTCTGGATCTTCAGACTCTCCCCAGTTCTTCCTCTCCAGAAAAAGTTTTGAGCTTAACGAGATCTGTTTCTTTACTATCTTTATTATCTCAGTTACTTTGTAAACCAGGGCAAATATGATTTGTGTCTCAGCCCTTAGCACAATTGGAATTATTTTGGGTGTACCTTCAGTTTGATTTGTGTGCACAGTAGTTTCTATATGAAGGCTTTCAGGATATCATCAGATCAAAGTCTAGGGAAAGGTAGATCCTTGTTAGAATTGTAAAGGGGGAAATTTCCATTTTTATTGAATAGAGAAGGTTTTAAATTGTTTTCATTGGATTTTTATTATATTTTATTCACTTGTTCAACATTTGTGTAATTAAAAAAAATTGAAAACCCTAATGCAGTTGTTACAAAATTTGGAATTTCACATAACGCATAGTTTAGGAATCCATAAAATTTTGGGAGAATGGCTAAATGACAAATTGATCCATGAGGGTGAAGTGTTTGTTCATCACACATTTATTGAGTACTTACTATGTAACAAATACTGAGATTAGAGATAATGAGTATCTTTCCAGAAGGACATTAAGGAGACATATTTAGATGAATTTCTGTAGTGCTGTGTGTTAATATATCCATATAAAGGTATTTATACAGTGTGACGGGAATACTGTCATTGCTTGGGAGAGACAGGGAAATCTTTGCAGGGAAAAAATATTTGAGTTGGTGTTGAAGGATGAATAGGAGCTTCACAAGTAAGAAAGACATTCCATTTTGAGAGAATAGCATTCCCAAAGACATGGTGAAGGGGTGAGGGAAAAAAATAATCTAGTGTTTTAACTGTCAGAAATTTGTCAAAAATAGGATATGTGGTGGGGGAAATTGCTAGGAAGTGAGACTGAAAAGAAACTGGGATGACTTTCAGGTGTTCTACAAAAAAAAAAAAAAAAGTAGAAACTGGGGACTAGAGAGCCATTGAGTTTTTTGTTTTGTTTTGTTTTGCTTTTCCAGAGACAGGGTCTCTGTCACCCCAGGCTAGAGCCCAGTGATATGATCATAGCTCATTGAAGTCTCAAACTCCTAGGCTCAAGCCACCCTTTCACCTCAGCTTCCCCTGAGTAGCTAGGATCCCAGGTGTGTGCCACCATGCCCGGCTAATTTTTTAATTTTTTGTAGAGATAGGGTCTCTCTGTGTTGCCCAGGCTGGTCTCGAATTCCTGCCCTCAGCAATCCTCCCACCTTATCCTCCAAAAGTGCTGAGATTGCAGGAGTGAGCCACTGTGCCCAGGCTATAGTTTTCACTTTATACTTAGGTGGTAGTCATGAGGCTTGTATGGTTCAACAGGAAAGGAAATGAGAAGATACAAGTGACATTGTGTTCTTTGAGTTCAGGGTTTGAGCAGGAGATAGTATTAATTTACAAAAGTTTCCTGCTTATTAGAGAAGAGGGTCTTACAATAAATTCTCATTCTGGGAATTGTCAGAAAAAATATGGTTTTCAATCAGAATTTCCTGAAATCCTGTCAATTTGGGGTTGGTTCTTCCTTTTGAAATTAAATGCATTCCTTCTTGAGTAAGATGATTTGAAAGGGAACCTGAGGTGGTTATTTTTATTTAAACCTCTTCATCTGCATTATTAGTTTGTGACACTAGGCAAACTCAGGAGATGCTGATGGGACTGGATTGAACTCTCTGAAGCTAGTTTACGTGTAGTGGGTACAGACTATGGCTGACACCATAGATTGGAAAATTCCTGGTTTTGCCACTTGCTGCTTATCTCAGGAAAGTTCCTGAGTTACTTCCACTTTTAAGTATAGGCTAAACACCAACTCTGAGATTAGCTCTGTCCAGAGCACACACAAGATATGGACCTTGCTTTATAATGGCTCGTGTTCTTATTTAATCAGTCTGGTTCTGTCTTAGCATCTAGACAGTAAGGATGATGCCTGCCAGGCATCCTGAGTTGACTGCCTTTTCTTGGATAAAGTAGGAACATTGATATTATAGATATCAGTTTGGAGTTTCCATAGAATTGAATTTAACTGAATCTGGTTATTAATGTTCCACTAATTGCCACCTGATTTTTTGCCCTGATAGGACATTCTGATGGGGAGAGGCTACCAGAAATAAAGATATAGTTCCTTTACCACTTTTGAGTGGTGTTACGTTGGGCAAAGTAAAATCCTCATTGTAAAATTAAGATGATAGTGCCTATTTCATCTGATTATTGTAGGGATTAAATACAATGTATTTAGGCTGGGCACGGTGGCTCACATCTGTAATCCTAGCACTCTGGAAGACTGATGTGGAAGGATTGCTTGAGCTTAGGAGTTTAAGATCAGCCTGAGTAAGATCAAGCTGCCTCAGCCTCCCGAGTAGCTGAGACTCCAGGCATGTGCCACCATGCCCGGCTAATTTTTTGTATATATATTTTTAGTTGGTCAATTAATTTCTTTCCATTTTTAGTAGAGACAGGGTCTTGCTCAGGCTGGTTTTGAACTCCTGACCTCGACCTGAGTAAGAGACCCTGTCTCTACTGAAAATAGAAAAATTAGCCATGTGTCTTGTGCACCTGTAGTCCCAACTACTGAGGAGGCTGAGGCAGGAGGATCACTTGAGCCTAGGAGTTTGAGGTTGCAGTGAGCTATGATGATGCCACTGCACTCTACTTGGGGCAACTGAGAGAGATTGTCCCCCCACAACCCCCAAAACAATATATTTAAAGCACTGAGAACAGTACAAAGTTTATAGAGAGTACTCAGTAATGTTATGTATTATTATTATTATTACCTTTTTTTTTTTTAGAGGCAGGGTCTTGCTTTGTTGCCAAGGCTAGAGTATGGTGGTGATCATAGCCTCACTACAGCCTCAAATTATTGGGTTCAAGTGATCATCCCACCTCAGCCTCCTGAGTAGCTAGGACAACAGGTGTACATTACTGTACTTGGCTAATTTTGTTATTTTTTTGTAGAAACAGGGTCAAGGGCTGTGTTGCTCAGGCTGGTCTCAAGCTCCTGGCCTCAAATGATCCTCCTTGACCTCCCAAAGTGCTGGGATTACAGGCATGAGCCACTGTACTCGACCTCTGGTTGTTTTAGATTGATGTCCTGAATGTTTTAAGTCTGGGGTCTGTACTAACCTCTGTACTAGTGTTCTGTGTGGGTGCTGTTAAATTTCACATATATGTGAACACCCATGTGCTTTTTTTTAGATTAAAGAATAATATCCATAATGTGAGGTGTACAACTTAATTATTTTTTTAACACATGCCCCCATTTGTGTGACCTCTACTTAGTTCAAGATTGAGCACATTTTCAGCACCTCAGAAGGCTTCACTGTGCTTCCCTCCCACTCATCATCCCTCCACTATTCTGACCTCTGTCACCATAGATTAATTTTGCCTTTTTTATTTTTATTTTTTGAGACAGAGTCTCACTTTGTTGCCCAGGTTAGAGTGAGTGCCGTGGCATCAGCCTCGCTCACAGCAACCTCAGTCTCCTGGGCTCAAGCGATCCTACTGCCTCAGCCTCCCGAGTAGCTGAGACTACAGGCATGTGCTACCATGCCCGGCTAATTTTTTGTTTATATATTTTTAGTTGGTCAATTAATTTCTTTCCATTTTTAGTAGAGACAGGGTCTTGCTCAGGCTGGTTTTGAACTCCTGACCTCGAGCAATCCACCCGCCTGGGCCTCCCAGAGTGCTAGGATTACAGGCATGAGCTACCACGCCCCCCAATTTTGCCTTTTTAAACTTTATATAAATGGCATCATCATATTGTACTCTTTTATTCTGGACATTTTTCATTCAATGTTTTCTGTGAGATTTATCCATGTTGTTTCATGTATCAATAATTTGTTCTTTTTTTTTTTTTTTTTTTTTGAGACAGAGTCTCACTTTATTGCCCAGGCTAGAGTGAGTGCTGTGGCATCAGCCTAGCTCACAGCAACCTCAATCTCCTGGGCTCAAGCAATTCTACTGCCTCAGCCTCCCGAGTAGCTGGGACTACAGGCATGCACCACCATGCCTGGTAATTTTTTCTATATATATTAGTTGGCCAGTTAATTTCTTTCTATTTATAGTAGAGACGGGGTCTCACTCTTGCTCAGGCTGGTTTTGAACTCCTGTCCTCGAGCAATCCGCCCTCCTCGGCCTCTCAGAGAGCTAGGATTACAGGCGTGAGCCACCACGCCCCCCAATTTTGCCTTTTTAAACTTTATATAAATGGCATCATCATATTGTACTCTTTTATTCTGGACATTTTTCATTCAATGTTTTCTGTGAGATTTATCCATGTTGTTTCATGTATCAATAATTTGTTCTTGGCCGGGCGTGGTGGCTCACGCCTGTAATCCTAGCACTCTGGGAGGCCGAGGCCGGTGGATTGCTCGAGGTCAGGAGTTCAAAACGAGCCTGAGCAAGAGCAAGACCCCGTCTTTACTATAAATAGAAAGAAATTAATTGGCCAACTAATATATATATATAAAAAATTAGCCGGGCATGGTGGCTCATGCCTGTAGTCCCAGCTACCTGAGAGGCTGAGGCAGAAGGATCGCTTGAGCCCAGGAGTTTGAGGTTGCTGTGAGCTAGGCTGATGCCATGGCA